AAGTATAAGGAAGTTTAGCGCTATGCGAAAAAACATTGCTATTACGGTGCTTTTCCGGCGAGACCGACCCAAGCAAACGAATCCAGCGAGAGCTAAACAAAAGGAAATGTGTTTGTAATGGTAGCCTCGGGAATGGTTCGGCATTGGCAACATATTAGTGTGCAGCTATGGCCGTCAGCCACCCAGCCCCGACCCGATGGGTCGAACACGAACGTCGCAGCTTCGTCGTTTCGTTCGTTGACAGAGCTTAAAGCCAGATTTAGAAAGAAATCGGGCAAGCAACGAGGTATGGGAGATAGAGGAGAAAATGAATTACTACCAGATACAGCTACAGAAGCAACAGCCTTAGCAAAACCATCGTCAAGAGCCCTTTATTCAGCAGCTGTATCAGCTTGTAGTGACAATGACGACTACGGTGCCACAGGAATGGAAAATGGGGAGACTGGGAAGGGAGAAAAGGGGGCGATCTTTCGCTTGAAATCCTGGACACAGTGATACGGCGGGCCGATAGAAGCTTTGTCGCTTCGTCCCCACTGCACCATCTCCTTGACACTCCACCTTACTCAGCTGGTTTACGCACTGCTGCGGTCGTCGTCGCGGCCGCCGCTGTTGCCGTAGCTGGCGGACACTTCTCGCAGTGAACGCGACCGTTCTACTGTCGTTATAAGTACACAGCTCTCATGTTAATTCTTTGGCTGGAACTACCGCTGTTATGACTGCCGTTGCTACCGTTAGCAACACGTGGACATCACGGCGACAATCAGTTCTGTGACAGGTAGTAGTGGCAACGGCAATAGTAAAGTAGCTGTCAAGGCAAGCCTCTAGAACGTGTGCGCGCACGCTAGTTATGCACGGAATCGTGCAGCGCTAACCTTGTTCGCCCATTTATTTGCTCATGCGGTGGCTGACGCTCACCAGTAACAGACACGAACAGCTAGCAATATGCCACACATACACACACGTAAGCGGAACGATGCTTACTTGTCTCCGCACCTCGTCGCTCACTTCAACGCACCGTCCATCGGTAGTGCGCGCACCTAGCCGATGTATTGCCGACTAACTGATTTTTACCTAACGCGCTGTAGCAAGCAGTGCGCCACTGTGAGAACTGTGAGCGAATGAATGGGTTACGTACAGCAAGAGCCGCGTCAACCAGACTTCGAATAGCTTTAGCAAAGGCAACAGCTCCAGTGGTAAAGGCATGACAACTAACATAGCGCAAGTACACCATCAACAATATCAACTCTGCCAGTGCCGCCAGGTCTAGTCTGTGCTTAGAAATAACCAGAAAGTGTCAATCGGTCTAGAGAAAGGCGGTCTGCGGGGCAAACGGCCCCTTCTCGAAGCACTTGAAGATCGTAATGACGAATGACGACTGCTAACCTATATTTTCACGTTTATTGTAAGATTACCTTTTCACAGCACAACATATGGCGTATGCACAGCTTCGGCTGTTGCAGGGTCGCCGCCGTATGGTAGGGCGGGGCAGTGCTTTGTGGGGCAATAGGGAATACCTAATTCGGTAGAATGAAGCCACCTTCTGCAGAGTGCGCGATAGCACATGGCATCACTACGTAAAGCACTAGCACACAGCGTTGGCGACTACAGAAAATTAAATTGTGGAAGAATACAAGTATTACAGTTGCGCTAAAGGCCGAACGATCGAGAAACGTCACTCGTCTGGGACATATCTATGGTTAAACCTAGAGACGGTGGACTAGAAAAAAATAAGTGGGGTTTACAGCAGTGGACAAAAAAATTATGTGAATTATGCGTGTCTAGTTTCATTGAGTCATCGAGATTCAGTAAGTTCTATGTCACGATAGCCAGGGCAGCTGCGTTTTGGCCTGCGAAGACCTTTGTTTGTGCTGACACAGACTCGTCGATGCCAGATGGTATTCTAGAACGGGCATGATTATTAGTTCGATACCGCTATAATGCGAGAGGGTCGCAAAACACGATATCCGGGTAATAAGGCCAATGGTAAATATCTTTTTGCCAGCAGCGATCCCATCCGTCAGTATTGATACACAGTGTTTTCATGGCATATTTGTAGAGCTTTTTCCAACTAACTAATTTATCACACCACTAACGATCGTACTACTTTAATTATATATGTCGTAATAAAATTTAACGATTTTATCAACGGCATATAGTGCGTAAGCATCACATGCTGCTCGATCCGTCCTAGTACTTCCCGCAGGCTGACACGTTTGCGAGCACGTCGATACCCTCAAATAGCTCCTGTCTACGTATAAGTTAATAAGCAGCGTTGGGAAAGCACGCCTTGTTGTTTCTACGGTACATTGCCGATCCAACGTATAATATGATAGCGTACATTCGCGCGTATAAATTTGAAATAGAAGGGCAACGAAGGAATTGTGAAGATGCTTTTGACGCCGTTTACCGTGTATCTATAGTTATTTATTGGCGTGCTTGCTATCAATCGCTCGTGTCGATTGGAACATGGCTAGACGTTATGCCGGCGATTTACTCAGAATAGCCAATTAATTACGAACCGTGCACAATTGCTCATTTTGTCTTACACACCACAGATGTCCTATTCGTTTCAGAGCCCTGAACGATATTGTTTACTTACATCGGCGATAAGTTCAGTGGCAAAAAGTGACCTAGCGTTGACTTGGAAGAGAATGTTTGAAAGATTCAAAATTCGCTATGAAGCCTTGTCCGTTATGACCAAAAGACCTTACTTCGTCTTTTCTACCATCATAGTCTCAGAAATACTAATTGAGAGTTATGTATACGTGGTCATGAAAAAAATCAGCCTGCAAAAGGCAAGCTTAAAGATTGAACAGTCGTTAAAATGGCACACCAGATAGAAGTAAAGCCAATCAGATTCAGCTAGTTATGTCTCTGTCGGTAGACACTCACCATGTATACGTATATATATATATATATCTGTCTACAGCGTAGTAGTTCTCAACGCTGCTACTTTTTGTTAGAACCATGTGTATGTCTACAATTCTACAAAGATATGTGTGTGTGACGCTATGTGCCAAAAATCAGGTCTCTGGATTTAGGCGTGCGAATTAACTAATAAAAGTTGACAAAAAAAAAATATAGTATAATACGAAAGTCGTGACGGGATATCGACAGCAAGTGCATAGCGTTGCGAGAAAATAGTAACGGAATTGGTTTGGAATAGCAATGGAAAAAGCGGAGTTTCGTAGCACACATGGTCCGCAGAGAAGAACTTACACCGATAGAAGGCCGAACTTTAATAACAGCAGCTTTTGATGGTTTATAGGGGTAGTTTGGGGAGTACGGCGGGGTTCGCGAAATTTTTTGTGCTTGAATGGCTGTATAGCGCTGTTAGTGTTGAAGATTAGGTTCACTTGCTCAATGTTAATATCGATGCTATAATGATTACCCCCGGTTCGATAGTTCGAAGGAGTCCATGCGACACACAATCGACGCCGCGTTTCCCCCTCTGCTTTGCACGTTCCCCTGGTGATTCTTATGCGGCATGAGATACATGTGCATATAACAAAAGAAAATTAAAACATTTTCACCAGTAAAATCGCCATTTTTACGCCTCGGTTTATGCTGCCTGTTACTTCATGGCAAACTAGATTTTATTGCTTGTAATGTTATATTACTACCGGTAATTTACAACAGTTTATGTTTACTTACTTAATTTAGCACAACATTTCGTAAAGTATGTACGGGAGATACGATGACGAGCCGAAATGTAGCGTTATCTTTGCGTTGATCACGCGCCGTGTCACTCTGTCAATGTAATAGTTAGAAATCGGTGGCTGGTAATTAATAGGAAACCCCTAACGTAACGAAGCACACTTATTAGCATTCGGTACGTCGGACTAGCTGATCTGCATATAGTCTGATCAGAAATGAATCTGGGGCGAAGATGAACAGAACAAAGAGGTTAACGCCAGAAAAAAGAGAATCATCTGAGATCTAACAGTTAGTTAGACAGGTAACGCTTAATGGTGGCGCTTGTGGCAGACTTAAATGCCAGGTATTGAACGCTGCTAACATTAAATCATGATCAACAGTCAGAGCGACAGGGTAGTAGCGTTAGCTTCCGCACAGTTTCTCCTATCCAATTTATTTAGCTCAAATATTGCTTGACGGTGAATACCTAGAGCCTGTCAAGAAGGTATTATAGCGAACCATTGCAACTGCTCAGGCGTAAGACGCCGTTTGTCCCGACGGTCGCATCAGAAGATGCCAGCCGTACGCAGCGGCTTTCGTCTACAGAGGCAGGTTTACCTAGGTATAGCTGTTTATACAGAGAAGCAGGAAACGCCGAGTGTTGGGCAAAATAATTTGCACATGCACGTATGTCTGCAAACATGCTCTGGTCACGGGTATTTCAATCTAAAATGGCACTACATACCACCAGAACGATTTCAAAGTTTAGCGGCGAAAGGACATTGGAGTACACTTATTTTATGAATGATCACGAGTGTCGCAAGCGAGGAGCGTGCCGACGATAAAGCTGCCGCCACGCCTTAGCTAGCTCCAATTCTCTAAGAGTCTTTGAAACTCTATTTTGTTATTAATAATGAAATATAATACTTGTTGTCTAGCGTGGTGCCGTATCGTATGTGCTACGGTATATACAATTTAGACTTGCAGCTTCCCGACTAATTCACGCTCCGCCATACGTATCGCTTGCACGTGAGCCACGTTGGCGGTGACTTTGGCTGCGATTAACCGCGCGCGTAGCACGATCGCGCCGCCCTCTAGTAGCAGCTTTTGCGGTACTCGCTAGCTTGCGGTGAGGTCCGCGGGCGGTCGGGCTGGCAACGCGTGGCGGCGGCTAGTGGCGGCAGCGGAGTGAAGGTGGGGTGAAGCGAGGTTCGAGGGCTTCGCTTTGTCCTGGCGTGTGTCTCCGTCGCTGATTTAGCTTCGCTTGCGCTTCGGCTCCTGCTGCCTGCACCACTGACGGGAATGACGGTGCCTGCGCAGTTGCCAGCTGTCCCGTGGCTGTTGTTGAACGACCGTCTATAGGATGTCAGCATCACCACGTTATAGCTCTGTCGTTGACTACCGACTAAATGTCAATGGAATACGCTCCGCGCAGCTGGATAGCTAAGCTACGCTGAACTGTAAGCAGAGTAAAGGGGGAAGTCAAGCAATATGAGCACCTCAAGGAACGCGGAAGTGTTAAAAACGAAGACCCTGTTCGACGAACGAGGCGTTACCGACAGCGCCGCTAAAGCGAACTGCCGTCGACTCTGCTTTTCACAACCAGTCAGGGGTTCTTCAAAAAACGAAAAACAGCCGGCCATAGAGACTAACTGGAAGGGATGCCCCAGAATTGTTCCCATAATATGAGGTGCACGTGAGTATTATACTTCATGCAGGTCTTCGTGCAATTTTTACATGTGTATAGAGAGAGAGAGAGTCGATTGTTGTATGATGTACGTAAAGTTATTTATGTTTACAGATGACATTAATCTCGAATACACTTGGATACGTAATAATACTGAACGACAGTCGTTAGAGCGAGTCTGTTGAGCACAAAACATTTCCCCTTTTGCTATAATGATTAGGCCGAAATTGCTTGGCACAGGTAAAACTAAATATGCTACATTCATTGATTAACTTCGGCTGCTGACTTAATTAGTTCAGCGTATAACACTTGGACCTTTCGTTACACGACGGGTAGCTATAGTCATTGAAACGTTTACGTACGAATGAAAATACTGAGCGCAGCAATTTCAGCCGCTGGACATTTGCCGTTATACGGACTTAATCGCGGAGTTAGCGAAATCTGGCTTCTACAGATGCTCTCAATATATGAAGCAGTTGATGGCTTTGAATGGCAGAGAGCATGCTCGCATCACGTTGAAAGACAGCGACCTCCAGCCTTCAATATGACGCAAGTCACTGCACGCAGTCGAATTTTGTTGCCGTAGGTCTGTTGTTATTCTATTAGCGGTTTTAATTACGATTCGAAGACACGTAGTTAAAATATCGCGACGAGATTTTCCCATCACTGCGTACGTCGCCATCCCGTGGTGCCGTCAACACTAGCTAACAAAATGTATAAATTAGGGAAAAAAACAGCAGTATCACCAGTGATCGGCACTAATAGAATAGTATACATTCCAGATAGGGGGCAAAGGTCATGGTTCAGCGCAGTCACTAATTAGCCAACAATAACCCGCTCCTCAGCTGTAAGTATATTATAAAAAAAAAACGCACGACAAATATGACGCAAACGAGAGAGGATCCGATTTAGGATTCACTTGTAGAAACAAGCGGCAGACTGCTGACCACCTTCATCGTGTGTGTGGTTGGCCAATAGAATTCGTTTACGAGAAATAGGTTTGCTTCTATGGTTTTCATGCAACTTTTTTTGGAGTACTGATCTGCTCCGTTGGGCTCTCGTTAACTCGTGTCGATTCGGGTCATAGCAGGCGTACGCTACGGGTACATACGTTTATCGATACCGATGACGAATATTGTAGCTTTTAAAGCCTTCCAACCATGCCAGCTCGCCTGATCTTACTCGAGTGTAAATTGGATTTTAGACACCAATGCGTGTTGTTGGAGGACACTAGTACTTATACAGTGCTTACCCTCTGATGGCAAGACAAGCGAGCTTTCGTCTGATGCCGGCACAGCCTTAGCAATTTACTTTAGGACTAATTCAATCGCGTGCGATATACATATAATAGCGATCACCATACTATACAGTATTACATACAAATCATACTGCTACTCTATCATATGTGTATATGGTATCAAACGATTTTTATCGGTGTAAACGTGTGATCAAGATCTATTGGTGACGATAGCGTTCGGATGCAGAATTAGCGACTAGATAAAAAAAAAAATGGACACAATTTTAACTTTCAAAGCAAAGCTACTTTCCTAGCCATAATGCAGCATTGACCCATTGGGTTACAATGGGTTGCTGGCTGATTGATAGTCATAACCCTGTATAGCGCTACAGATGATTTTTCGTTTATTCTTGGTTGTCGACAGTAGCAGAAACAGCATTAGTATGACCAACTGTTATTCTAATTGTAACAGTCATTGGCCGCGCGGGGTCGCCAAACAACAACCGCAGCAGCAGCAGCAACGAGAAGGTACTATCGCGCTTGAAAAGTGCCGGCACTTGTGAAACCTTGTCGACGTCATCGATGAAGGCCATCGTCATTATCATCACCCTTGTCGTCGCCGTCATAACCAACATCAGCATCAAGACCATCATCGCCGTCATAATACGTTGCAAGCAACAAAGGAGGCAGTAGAGACGATGGCTGATACCGCTGGCCACAGCCGAAACTGACGCGTGCTTCCTTCAAGTGCAGTAGCGCAAACATTGTATCTACAGGTAAGGAAACAACGGCAGAACGAAGGATCAGAACAGGCCATTTCGCCTGGCACTGTGGAAAAATGGACGAACGAGTGCGCGCTAACAAACTCAGGACAACACGAGCAAACAGACGGCCGCGTCGCCACCATACATAGTGTACGTTACCGTCTGCTGGCGTACTAATAGTACACCTTACCTTCTGCCTAGGTATTCTACAATACGATGCTACGGCTAGTAGAGGTAGCGCATTTTGTCCAGCTGGAGGAGTGCACTGAGAGACGGCAACGATCGAAATTTCTTAGTGAAGTTAATGACGAAGACGAAGAACAGAAAAAGCAAGAACAGCTTATTCAAGTTAACTTTTGAGCTATCTCCCGTCGAATTCAATTGATAAGCTGATTAATTTTCCTGCTATCGCACAGTCCCGTGGATAGAGAACATGCATTGGACTTTGCCAGTATCTTGATGTTTCTGCCCTACAGACCACCATCCCAACTATTTTCTTATTAGTCATTTCTGTTTAATCAACTTACCGGTGGTGCCGTACTGTTGAATCCACTGAGCTTCGACCCGCATCGTGAACGGAGGTCACTGTTGCTGCACGGGGTGGGGTAATTGTAATGTCCGATGGCCTCACAACCGCGCAACTGCTGTACGGCTGATTTCTTACAGCCGAACAGCTGGACTGTTGAATGTTGAGAAAGGTCCGTTAAAAATGATCCCTTATGTATTGCTCTATGACTCGCGAGAGTCAATCGGACGAGGGAAGATGGTCTTCGAAAATTTCGATTGGGAAATCATGACTCCAGTGCTCGCTTCTGTCCTCACGAGAGCACTACAAGATCGCCCAAATCTTTCAGCCCATCATGCGATCGTTAACATTTCGAACTGCCACTAACCTTCAAGATTCACTTTCTATTCCGTTGCATTAGAATGCGGCCGTGGCCGTTGAGATATTTTTCCCGTTTTGGCAAGATCCATCCAGCGCGTCAAGTTCAGAAAAAACTTTGTTGGTAGCGTTCTATGTGGTAGCGTTCTAGGTTGACACTACCAATCAACAATGATCAGAGCCTTACGATGTTGTTGTTGTTGTTCCTAAAGTCGACGTTGGATGCGCAAACCCTAGGCAGATAACTGGACGATGACCATGGGATGCATAAGAAGTGCAGAAAATGCACTAAACGTAGTTTTTCTTTCACCGAAGAAAATATAGGAGACAGCCTTAAATACGATTAATTTAGGCACATTCCTTTGTTCTTGCTTAGCACACCGTTGTTTTTAGAATTACGTCAGGATAACAGTATTCTCTCTTATAGCATGTCCTATAGATTCTGAGACTAAGCTTTTTGGATAAGCGTCTCTCTTCCTACTGCTTTACCGTGTATAACGTTTGTGAAACGAAAGCCATCGGATCACAAAAAATAACGATTAGGTCAACTACTGATTAAGTTGTTGACCTGCAACTTCCGCTATCGATAAACAAAATGGTTCGTCATCATTGCTGGCGTAATAGTAAATCTAGTATTTAAGAACGATTTCGATCTGACGACCCTCTTCTACCGACCATTTAGTCTGCTTTCTCGTTCTGTTCAAAACTTTTAGTTGTTGTTCTCCATCTGCCACCGTTGTTGTACCATCGCCGTTATGATAATGCCGATAGTGATTCGTTCGTTTCGTTGCCGTAACCGTGCAAGCGTCCGGGTCAGGACGTCAGCTGTTTCCTATTAACTTCCACCAGACGGCTGCAGCATCAATGACACACGACGACTAACACTAACAACTACCAACTTAATGAAAACTAGAAAAATTGACGGTAACTTGGTTATTTACCACTTTGCCATACTGAATGATTCGATCGATTCGCTATCTGACGATTGGATCTCATATATACGGTTTGGTTATTTTTTTCTGAGTTCCCTCGGCGCAGAATTACAGCAGTTAACTGTGTAGAAATACTTGAAGTTGCTAACACTTTTATTGGAGTACTTGTCAAATAGTTCGTATAGATATACGTATTTATATATATGTACATATATATATATATATATATATATATATATACACATAAATATATATATTTACTTATCAGTCTCCTTATAGATAGAGACTTCTTAGAGCAACACAGTCACGCCGTCACGTCAAGGTTGTCGTCGGCGCCTTTGTCTGCAATTCTATCCGAATTGAATGAAGTAGTTTTAGTTGTACTACGAGTGGCAATAGTCGAATATAACAGCAATAGAATTGCAATCAGGACCCCACTCTATTCAAATTCTATGTCTTTTTTTCGCTTTATTTTTCCGTTTGGCGCCCTCTGTTCTTTCACTCATTTTCTCTCTTTGCCTGTGGCTGTCGAAATGCAACAGCTCGTTGCTCATCGAATACAAATAGCATTGCCCTTTATCAGGGATAGACCTGTAATCTGTTCTGCCCCTGGCGTCGTCGTTGCCGTCGCAGCAGAGCTGATGCGCTCGATGGCACCACGTAACAAATCTGGTTGCCGTATTTGTGGCTGTTGAGGTGGTCGTGGTAAGTGGCCTTCTCGTACCCGCCAAGTCCCAACTGTGCCTGCTCCGGAGCGAGGACCATCAGCTGTGTGTCTCTCCTTCTCTATGCGAGTGGGAGGCAATTGGACCAGATCAGGCGAGCATCTCTCGACGGCTGATAGCACAAAGGTAGCACAGATGATGTTGACCGAAATCAGCCGCAGCAACCGAGTGCGATGCTGGTAGTAATCGGAGTAGCAGTAGTCGTAGCAACGTGCGTACACAGTCAAATAGTACGGCCGCTTGGCCACAAATCACAACGGTAGTGACAGCACTATCAGTCGCCGTAGTACTTGTAATGAACAGTAGAGGCGTATTGGAAGTTATCGGTAGAACGACGAACGGCCGGATGAACAATCGGCAGATTGATCAGTGAATTGTCAACATCACACGGATAGCGGAGTTAGGTAAGGTAGGCAAACAGGCGAACAACTATCTGTCTCTCTTTGGTGGTAAGCGCTGTCGCTGCTGCTACTGGTGGTAGAGCTTTAGCCTGTTAGACGGACCAGCAGCACCGAGCCGGCCATACACGATCAAAGTCGTCAGGCAGACAGCAGGGACCAACCACCGCCGCGACCCTCCGCCGATCAGCTGGAAGGTGCGCGCATGCGCCTCGTGCTGGGAGAGAGGACGAGGCCTGCACGTGCGGGAGCAGCACGCCAGTCGACTTTCTGTCCAGTTCAACCAGCAGCCTCTGGGCGAACAAGGCGCCAGAAAGCTTTTAGAGAGCCTGGCCACCGGGAATGAGAGACATCCACCCATAAACAGCTAATATTAACGTTACCCGGAACGAGCAGACGGCAGCCTGCTGCCGTTCGGCATGGTGAGCCTCAGCCATCATGATCTCGACAATTACCATCGAAGTCACGGTCGCTAGCCTTGACACAGCGACAACTGCACGGCAATGAGCGCGTGCTCGTGGGGGCAATATTCAAGTCTGTCTATTTCGGTATCTGATTAACCGTCTGCTTCCCGCTTCAAAGACGGTTCGATCGTATAACGCGTGAGGGCAACAGGAAAAGGGGACACAGGGATACTAGAAAATCTAGATGTTGTTTCAACATTCATCCACAGATTTTCTCCCATCACTGTTGTGGTACTTTTTAACTGCAGTGTCGTCTCTGTTCGTAGAAGCCTTCACACATTGAAGTGGTCCGACTAAAGCGCCAAAGTGCGACTTCCACCAACATTGCCAAGAGCAGCCACACGCAATTGATTGCTAAACTTTCAACCGCCCACTCGGATTCACGTTGACGCCATAAAGAGTTACATCAATGCAGACACAGAAGGTTGCTTACCGCGTATGCACCCGCTTATGTACCTGCTCATTTGTGCTCGCGTGCGGGGTAGACGTGGCAAGAGTTTTCAGGCCGCCAAGGCTTCTGCTAACTCGTTCACTTTAAGGTGGCGTTAATTCGCATCTACTGAGTAAAACTTTTCCATAACTGGGCTGAGTGGGTGACAAGGTCCGCACGGAGAATGACCCCAACCCAAGCAAACAGTTTGCTAAAAAAGCTAAAAATCATTTCATGATTAGGAAAGAAAACAACGGAGGCGTGCCTGCAACGAGGAAAAAGTAGACAATGAAGCAAACGGAGAAGATTCGCAGGTGTAGGTATTTAGATGCGCGGATTGGTTACCGTATAAGTTGGCGAAATAGCAGCGAAACCCGATAGCCGCGATTGTTTAGGTACAGCAGACTGAAACATATACGAAGCAGTAAAAGTAGATAATGGCAGGGCCGATAGAAGACCGATCAAGGGACGTCCCGTTCATTCGTAACATGCGAACACTCTTCATGTAGAAATAATGGCTTTTTGCCACTTCGCATGCTCTTCTTTGTTTAACAGCAATTAACTCTGTTACCAAATTGACACCTTACAGAACAAGATTCTCTTTTGCCATACCTGCCAAACGTTGGAGATATGGAGGAAAACACGATAAACCGGTTACATTTATATTCTATAGATGAAAAATTCAGTTTTTCCGCGATTTTATACGGTACTCCTACCACTACTACCACTAAGGATTAGGTTCCCCCATGTATAAAGTGTAAATATTTTGACAGGCTTATTTTTCTATGAAATATACTTTATGCGAATGTTATTTTTTAGATTGAATGTGATACAGTTTTTGCAATAGAATTAGACGACACGAACTAAAGTATATAAGTCGAAAATATATTTTGTGCCTTATCATAGACGTGGAACTATAAGCTAGGTTAATTGTTGAAGGCTCTTTCAAGGTCCTCGGTATTCTACACGCGATCTATGAATAAGGCATCGACAGTGGTCCGCTTTGCATAGTCGTTAATAATGAATAAGGAATCCCGCCTTCCACTCGAGCTTTCTCAGCCATTAAACATATGGTAATATCTTAAACAATAGAACTTCAATACGAAGCGCTACCAGGAGGAGGATCTGACCGAAAAAATCAGTTGTTTATTCATGCACGCCATGAAGTGAAGCATGACTACAGACGTTCCTGCTATCATTCACTTGACGTCCTATTTAGAGCGTTCGATAACCTTTTCTCAAGGAAACGCTCCACCTTAGATTTTCATCGAACGTTTTCACTACTATGGTAGTATTATGCAGGGATGAAAACAGGGATGGTAATCAGATAGTTACGATACGGCAAATGCCCTAACGACATCCTTCTACGGCAAAAAAAGTAGCTACATTCTAGGCTATCTAAAACTGGCCAAAAACCGAGACACCGATAAATTGCTCGAACAGCTTTAATTTATTATTTTCTTATAAACCAGACTAAATGAATAGTAACTAGTTTAGCTCGACAGTTTTTACAGATAATTATGTATGCGTTTATGTTTGTAATATAGATCAGATGTACTTGGCCAGATACCGTATCGAAATTAACAGATGTTCAGTATATTCTCCATCGAAAATTCTCCTTCTTCTGCCCGAACGAACGTCTGCCCGTCTATTAGATAATCTAACAGGGCAATCGTTTACCAATTTTCTCGACCGTCGTCTACTGAACTGACGTTTATGCTATTTGAATGGTATCTATTAATGGTCGCTAACACTTGGTCACAATGACCTACTAATTTTTTATGTCTATTTTTGGGCCTATTATACTTAACCTATTCTGTAATGTCTAAAGTTAACTTAGGAAGATTCAAGTAGATTTTCTATCACCAAAACTTAAACTATAATCGTTAACGTTCAATACGATTAGAGAGAGTAAGCATGGTTTCAGCGGGGCCGAAATTGCGCTAAAACTATAGTAAGTTTACAAAGTTACGATACTGGACGTCTTGTTAACCTTCTGTAACCTGATTTTCGATGCGATGAGTTTTTTTTTTATTGAAGCGCATGGGTAAATCTGGTGATTCGCGTGAGATACATTTAATGAGTTGCCAATTCGAGGTCCGTGGATGTTTTGTGGTAAAGATGAATGTAAGTATTTTATATAATTCTGGAATAACGGCTTATCAGTGAACACATATATATATGTATATATATATATACACATATATATATACATCAAGGATCTGTAAGAAGCACGCGAGATCGTACCGGCAGAACAGAAGAGGGAGAGACGACCAGCCTAGTTGGTAAGCCAGAACTAAACGGAAATAGTACCTTTGCTCACCAACGTTTACGAACAGTATTAAACAATATGGGGCTCGAAGACTTCAAAACCAAAGGGTCAACAGTCACTAGCGGCCATTAATTCCATTCCTATAAGTCGGATCAAGAGGTAGATGTCATGCAATGCAAATCCTACTAACGGCTAACGGCCAAATCAGCTGTTGGTTTGACAGATCCAATCGAGCGGAGCGGGGGCTAGCAGCTTCTTGTCACGTTCTCCGTGTTTTTAGCTGGTTACGAGCCAGGGTCATAGGATAGAGCCAAGACTGCATTAAAAAGTCTAACTTTTGTATCCATTTTAAGGGTAAGCCACCTTTTTTTCTGAACCGTAAATTAATTGTTATCTGAGCTGCAGTACCATCTTCACTACATCCCCCGCGTGTACATAGCGCCTAAAAAGTAATCATTACCAATAATATACAATCTATACGTTTTCTAGCCTGCACGCTGCTAAGGTATCACGAAGCACAAATCTACGACATCATGCAGCATGTAACTGACGATCATCAATGCACGCCACGAGCTGTACGTCAACGAGCACACCCATACATACATTTTTGACTAACGGTTCAGTATATCCGTAAACTTCATTACTAATCAATATCAGTCACTTATCTCGCTAGCTTTTGGAGAACTTATTTTCGACGCATAACGTTAACGATTTTCTATCTGTAACCAGCTTTCAAATGAGCACACACACACGTATACACGCGTGGGAATCAATACTTTCCAAAATTCCTGGATAATTCTCTCCGAAATCTTCATCGTCCTTTTATGTATTTACCGCTAGTAGTAATTTGGCTAATCTCTGAATTATCAATCAATGCAGACGTGCAACGTTCAAATGATTGTCGCAGGAATGTAAGTGCTCATCTGTAAAAACTGATACTCGCACGTGTGGACTCACCGTTAAACGAGCCAATACGACGTTGGCCATGATCCATCAATATATGTGTAGTAATGGTACATCGATGGTGAGACTCTAAACAATACCTATCCGTCTGACGAATGGGAGATCTATGCCAACACAGCCCATCAGAACGAAACATAACTAAGTTCCGTAATTAAACAGATTCTATTTTGACCAATGTACCGAGCAATGTAAGTTTTTAAATTCACTTAATGCAATGATTTCAGTCTTGTCCAACCTGCACAAACAATAGCTTTTTTTCAGAGGATTCGAATAATGTTGTTTACCCAAGATCGGATCAAAGAAGAACGATCTCTACTTAGCGTGGTCTAGCAAATGTGAGACTGGGTTCCGACCAGTGAACTTTATTCCGCCAACAGGACTACGCGCTAATTTTAAATTTCTCTCTTATACGTCACTCCAATAGCATGGATGTTCAATTTATGGTACTACAGACTGCTTGCAGGGAGTGGCCAGGGCTACCGGGTCATCGGGCCGGGGTCATCTCGGTTGAATTCCCCACCGCGCCGTCAAGCTATTTCTTAGGTGGGGAAAGTTGTTACCTCCCCGCCCGCCTTGCAAACTTAACGTTCGCGCATCGTCTATCCTTGTCAGTGAATTTAGCTTTGAGGGGCGACCTCTTCTGCACTATAGGCTCCATGGTGAGCCCACAAATACTAGCTTAACAGCAGAGCTTTGCCCTAAACATACGAAGTTGCGTTCTAGAATTTAAGTGAATGGAAAGCTAAATTTGCCATCTAGCTGCCCAACAAAAGTGCCACAAGCACATTGTGTGAGTCCTTGTATCTAGCCGATACGTACCTGTGTGTATTCTAAAAGGCTCCCTCACGGTGCGGAGAATCTGTGGTTTAGGCCTAGTTGTAAATTCTCCGTTGGGTGTTGACAGTCGCGGTACTGATGGGGGATTGGGTTCGGATCTAAGCGTGGCGACATTTCCTCTTCTTCTGGGAGCTAGTCGTCTAATAGATTGGCTTAAGGGCGATGATGGGTGTCATGTGTCGTGTAGCCTGCATAGTGGCATTATGTGTACATACTCAAATAAAAGCGTTTAAGCCCATTGTATACTAACTGTTACATCCAGATCTTGCGTTATATCAGCTAGCCAACAGCCGTCGCGCACGTGGCATGCATTATAGGTATGATAAGCCTGCTCTGTTTAGTTATCGTTGTTGTAGTTCCCTGAAAGTTCATGCCTGTCGCATCGGCAGTAGCGTGCACGGGCGTCGATCTAAATCGATACGTGCTGCTGTTACCTATTAAAATCCAGGAGAACGATGTTGGCCTCCATCGATCAATGATATGCTTGTCCTAAGGCGTAGGCGTAGGCGGAAGACGAAATCTTGTTGCCGCTGTTGCTGTGACGATTGGTGAACCCAATTAAAATCTTATACATGCGACAATTTTCATATACATACGTATAGTCATAATGATGAATGCAGGAACAGCAAAAGATTCCTAGCTTTTTTTTTTGAAAGGACTTCACAAACTATATATACAAAAGTGGCAAGTAGATCATATCAAAAAACATGCTGGAACGAATTTTAGAACATCAGCTCTTAATGCAGGTACTTCATCCGCATGTTGTTTCATCAAAGGTAGATGACTTCACGTGCCAGGATTGACTTTTCCCCTCTGTTGACAACGGTCCGTATCACGAGTCCCTGATGAAGCTGCAATAATATGATGCGATAAATTCAACGCTTACGCCTACCTGTCGATGCCTATATGCGCCATATGAACGGTGAGCTATCACAACACTGGACCCTTCAATAATATATAGATGCGACTGTTAATTGTTTTGTGTTTATATGTGTTCTTTGCTCCTAAACAATCGTTCAATAATAAATAGAGATTAATTACTCCCACTAATATTTTTCACGATAGACATATGAATAAGGTGCAATGCGCCGATAAGTGCATTCATCTAAAATCTGATAATGAAACATTAACATTAACAGGCAGGAAACAATAACAGAATTAACAAAGCAGAGGTACCTTATAAGGTATCCTTCACATGAAGAGTTTCGTATCGTCCTATCATTGTTCAAACTTTCATTGATACCATACACCGACTGAAGTCGAAGTTCTTACTTACCACTGAACTACGTAATCCTACAAACGTAAATAACATACGTCACCAAAGAAATGAATTATCGTTGAGCGTTGTATTTGTTGCGTAGACAAACACGCAGCGTTATTTAACCAATGATAAATATTGGAAATGCTCGGTCTTCAAATGTTTTGTGTTATATTTTCAACAATTACGAGTTGAGGTCTAAATCGAGTGCTGCAAATTAGTAAGCCTGTTTGAGTGATGCCTATCACAAAAATGTCGATTCGTTTTTATAGTTAGGGGATGGTTAATAAGTTTGTTTTAAAGTTTTCTGAGGAGACGGTTGAGAAATGGCTTGGTGAGACACTGGCTAAGAAGTTCCACCAGTATTTGTAGCAGCTGCTAAGGGCTTTTTAGGACTGACATTACATATCTGCACTTCAACTTTGAACTCGTCAAGTCTTTGAATCATATGTTTGGCGAGTTACCCTAAAATCGTTCCCAATGAGTGTGCGCTAAAGCCTCGCAAGCGTTTTCATGACACTCAGCCAGAATAGCCGGGGTACGCTTTCACCAAGTTGGCTTTTGTGAAAATTGTCGATCTAGCCGGAAGACATGAAAGAAATGAGTCGTTCATCTGTAGTCGATACCGAAGCTGCATCTATTTATATACGACTTTGCATTTGCGTCCAAAGCATTAGGCCAGCCGAACCTTACAGGCCGCCTATTCCCGCTTCATGGAATATAGGCACGGATCTGCCTTTAACAAGATATCGTCAACTTTCCAGAAGAGCGAACACATGATTAGTTAAGGCTAGCAGTAAGGAAGAAAAAACGATGCCAGTGAAAGATGTTCCCCATTTCGTTGATGGATCGTAAGGTGAGAATGATGAAAGATTTAATATGGCGCACGCTTTGTTTATCTTACGATCCTCGAATCGCATTTATTAGATTCATCTGATTAGTAATCTCGGTTCTTAGTTTACGTCTAATCCAACAAATACGCTATGGTTTTTAATAACGACTTTTCTGGTTGACACATATACACGTATGCGTCGTAACTAGCTGTAAGGCACGATCGAGGATGCAGGGTGTTATAACAGAGCTATGGACATCTATATCAGACTTGAGATGTAGATATCCATAGAAAACTAATCGATGTAAAAGTAAGTTATTTTCACGTAACTTGCCATTTTCAATCAAATCTCTTACTTAAACGATTTTGACAGAACGTTCTCGACAGACACCCAAGCGTAGCTTAGGTGCTATCGTGCAAGTCGCTACCTTTGATATGTATCGCTCACTTAACAAGCAGCGTCAATGAAAGCTATTATGATTATACTGCATGTTATTAGGTGTGAACTTGGTCCTGCTTGAAGCCTGGAGGTCTTGATTAGTTATTGTCTGACATTAGATTTGTGAAGCGTTAGGACAAACTTGTAGTACATAGGCCGAGTTTTCCATTAATTAGGTCTCTGATTTTCACCGTTGCGCGATTGAATAAAGCACCATAATGAACGCCATGGTCCATGATTAATATCGCATTAAAGGAGATTCCTTCAAGTATATATATATATATATATATATATATACACAAAAGTAAAATACTTAAACTGCAACCTGTCAGATTTATTTGTGTCTTGAAAACACAGCCTATATAATCAGTACATACGATTTATTTATTTGTTTGGTAGCGATAAAATTACTAACCCTATTGGGTTGATTACCTGCAATCTGTCATTAAATAGACATTGTCAGAGCATGACCTCGACTCGGATCGCGTACCTTCTAATCCATTCTCCAAAAACCCACAATGAATAAACCTAACAGACGCTAGTAAAATTAATCCAATATTTGTATGACAACTACCACAAAAACGAGATAAATTCAGCCTATTACAAAATACGGTCGTTTCCTTATTTCAGTCTCCCCCTCTCCCGCCCCCCCGCCTCTCTCTCTTTCTTTGTCGCGCTCAGTCCTACCTGAATGTGGCGCTGTACGAGACATAGTTCGTGTTCATGGAAAGTCCATTCAAAGAAGCAAAAGCGATCTCCAGAGAAGCAAGTCAAATGCTCAAAAAATATTTTGTCAGGTTGGCACGACCCTAACGTACCTGTGCGATAGACTCTAATGACCCAGTCAGGCTAACTCTAAACTTTAGCTAAAGCAGACCGTTACGACGTTAAATCACCAAGATGGCAATAATTAAACGCACCCGTACACACGCATGTATGTATATATATTACTTCTTACTGTATTCGAAATGCAGCAACAATGATCGTACTTTAAACACTTGAAGCCATCTCGAGTCGCGTTTCAAACGGAAGTAAAATAGCAGACGACGACGACAAAGCGAAAGTATGTCAAGTGAGAATGCCTGCAAAGCTATCCATGCAACGCGATGCCTTGGTTAACACCGGGAGTCAATATAGCGACATGGAAAAATCTAGCAGTATGTGTTGTTAGTGAGTGAATCGCGGCGTACGCTTATTTGCACCTCTACACGGAACGGCGAGAAACTGTAACACAATGTAATGTGGGCCAAGACGTTTCGACGGCCGCTTTGCTGGAGCAGTGCCAAACGACCACGGCTTCAGTGAAGCTTGTAAAGTGAGCCAGGTAGAATGTTGGCTAAAGAAAGGCGTAGAGATTTGCCATCTATTACCACTAGCGGAACATAGAAGCTCGTATAGAAACTAGCTAAAAGCCGGAACCGCAAAAAACAACTGCGACACTTCACGGTGTCTGTGGCTTAACGAAGCCTGATCAATCATTGAGCAGTCAGGGTCTTCATGCTATGATTCTACATGGTATTGATAAATCTCAGGAAGAAGAAACCAAATGTTAGATTGTGCTAGTGGCAGGGTGAACAAGGTGGCGCAGTAATAAGTGTATTCTCGGTTACTACGATGCTTTTCGTATATCTATCAAAGAAAAAGTACATTGTGCATATTTTTTAGACCATTGTGTTAAGTCGATGGTTTGGTAAATTGAAGTGGCGCTTTTCTTTGTACCTTCGGTGACTGGCGTATGAAGTCGACAAAACGATTCTGGCATCTCTTCGCTGTACGTGAACGCTCCGTCGAAACGTGTTTGCATAAATAAAAACTGTTCTTTTGCCTCAAGAGACTGTCGGCTAAGGCGTCACCTGCCTTTTCGCATTTCATAAGCTTTGACTATATAATATTTCTCAAGAAGCATCGGAAAAGTTCAATGGCGAGCCCCGGCGCGAACGTACTAAACTGACGGCGTATTCATAACCTGACTTACTTAGGATCCCACGGCCAAGCAAGCAAACTTATATTCATGGTTTTGTATGAAAATCATACGTTTACGTAGACGTATGCATAATCGAAGCAGATCTAATTTTTCCCTTGCTTAACATGCTCCATATGATTACCACGGTCATTTTACGGCCGCAAGCTGCTAGCTTCCCGGCTTTTTCCTCCCGGCCAAAACGTGTTCCTCGTAAATGCTCAACTACTTCCTTGTCCCATCTGTATCCACCTGGGCCGCGTGGAAAGCAAAAAAAAACTCATTGAGGAGTCGCAGTAACAGAAACTACAGAGCCCTGTAGACAAGCGGCAACTGTAAATTATGGTCACACGAGGTAAACGCCGAAAAGGAGATGACAAAAGCCGTTGCCAAACAGAAATTTGTCCTTTAACGTTTGTCTCTGTCCTAGTACGTTATCGGTTCACCGTTAAGCGGTAGTATTTTGCTCGAGCGAATCCTACCTTCGTGCTACTGTTAATCCAGCAATTTCCTCAACTACAATTAACTACGATACTCGACGAGAGCGATCTGCTGCTGCAGAACCCGCTAGCATCGTCGAAAAATTTCAAAGGCCGTTTTGGCGCTAATCAGAGCTTTGTACTAATTAACAATGACCAAATCAAGCTTGCTATCTTCGCAGGAAGCATCAAACGCCACCACAGTTCCATGTTTACTAATTGGTTTGCGTCCACCATTTCGACACAAAAAATATTTACAACGTAACAACGTTTCCTCTTTTCGATTTCGAATCACGGGACACCAATTTTTAGATTTATTTGTTTGTGCTGTTTATAATAATTATCAGATCGACGTGGACGCCGCCGGTCGCGCTACTGCCTAACACTAATAGACGCTGGTCGAAGTGGCGGCCGGTTGATGTCCGTTGCGGCCGTTCTGTCGTACAGGCTATTGGATATAGCGGGCAACGCGATTCGATAAATTTTTCGCAAATTTTCATGGTGGCTTGAGACGAGAGAAAAGGGAAAGCAAGCTGAAGTGTTATATATATGTAATGGATAGACAAGGGCCGTAGCTTATTTTTTCGACATCGAACCTCAACCCAAATGAACGTCTGTCCCGACGCGCAGGCAAAGCTGATCTTCGATTCCCGTAAAAGCCGTGGATGTCTGTTGTACGTTTTTATGCCGGAGTGATTACTGCTGCCAAAGCAATAGCTGCCGTCGTGCTTGATGCAGTTCTTTCTCGTAATTTCCGAATCGCTGTTGTGACTGCTGCTATTGCCAGTATCACACAAGTGGCTATCAATGTTGTACTGTGTATAATGGGAAAATATGGGTATAAAGTGAATGAGATTTTCAAGTAATTGCTCAGGGTCGTGCTGACTGCTGGCGATTGCAGTAAGTTGGCCAGTACGGCCAACTGGCTGTTGGCCTTCTTTCGTCGTCGAAGCC